ACAAATGCACCAGTTTTCTGGCTTACTTAGCATTCTACACTAATCTTAAAACCAGCTAAGCCTACTTCTAAATAAAAAGAATGTGTTACATAGCAGTAAAACCAGAAATACAAGTTGTTTGCTGAGAGTAAATATAACTTGGGGCTAAAATACTGTATTGTTTTTTTTTTTATTTCCCCAACTTTTAGCCAATTCAGAATTAATACTTTGGCAGTTTCAAAGTTTTTATAATTATTAGTGTCTATTAATTTTGTAAAATGTTGGGTTTCAGGGTGTATATTTTGATCGTAGCCATCCCCCACATTATACCTTCTTCCCCTTCATTCCCTTCCTGTTCTCATAATCATTCCCTTCTACTTCTGTGTCACATTTTAGATTCCACATTATCAGAGTATGTGGTACTTAGGTCTGAGTCTGGCTTACTTCACTTAACATGGTGGCCTCCAAGATCATCTGTTTTCCTGCAAATGTCAGAATTTTGTTCCTATAACTAATTCTCCGTTGTGTACTTGTGTAGTTATATACTACATTTTCTTTATCTGTTCTTCCGTTGACGGGCACCTAGCTTGCTTGCTGTCTTGGCTGTTGTGTCACAGTAAACATGGCTATGCCGGTACCCTTGGAATATGGTGACTTTCCCTTCTAGTGTATACAGAGTGGTATAGCTAAGCTCTAGTTTTTGATTTATGAGAGATTTCCCTACTGACTTCCACCGTGGCTGCACTGATTTAGTCTGACCAGCAGGGTGGAAGGTTGCCTCACCAGCTTTGTTTCCTTTGAAACCTTGATAGCCATTCTCACTGGAGTAAAGTGGAATCACAGTGTAATTTTGATTTAAACTTCTCTAATGACTAAAGAAGTTGAACACTTTTTCATATTATTATTGGCCATTTCTACTTCTGAGAAATGTGTTCCATTCATTTGTTCACTCATTGAGTAGGCTGGTTTTTTGGGGTTTTTTGTTGTTGTTCGAGTTCTTTATGTAGTTTAGATCTTAATCCTCTGTCTGAAGGGTAGCTGGCAAAGATTTTCTCCCATTCCGTAGGCTCTTTATTCTGTTATTTCTGTTATCATGCAGAACTCTGATGCAGTCTGATGCGTGGATTTGTTCTGTTGCTGTCCGAAATGTCTTCTTGTGCCTCAGTGGTTTCTTCTAGGTTTTCAGGTCTTATACCTAGGTCTTTCATCCCTTTGAATTAATTTTAGTACAGTGTGAGATAGATAGGGATCTCTTTGTAATCTACAAGTGGATATCCAGTTTTCCCAGCATTATTTATTAAAGAGTGTCTTTTCTCCAATTTGTATTTTTGGCTTCTTTGTCTGAATCACGTGGCTGTACTTGTGAGTTTGTTTCTGTGTTCTGTCTGTTACAATAGTCTATGTCTATTTTGGTGCCAGCACCATGTTTTTTTTTTTTTTGTTTGTTTGTTTTTTATCAGTACCAGGGATCGAATTCACAACTGCCTGCTTGCAAGGCAGGCACTTAGGCCACTGAGCTAAATCCCCAGCCCCTTTGTTTTGGTTTTTTGACATAGGGTCTCACTGTGTATCCCAGGCTGGCCTCCTGCCTCAGCCTCTCAAGTACTATAAGTCCCATGCTGCTGTTACAGTGGCTTTATAGTATAACTGGATACGGTAGTACCTCTGGTCTTGCTTTTCTCCTCAGGATTACTTGGGGTATTCTGCATCTTTTGTGTTTCCATATGAGTTTTAGGGATTTTTTTTCTAATAATATAAAGGATATTGGTATTTTGAAAGAGAATCACTTTTTGGTAATATAATGACATCTAAACAATATTAATTGTGCTGATCCACGGACATGGGAGGGCTTTCTATCTTCCAATTTTTTTCTTCCACTGTTCCTGTAGTTTTTATTGTACAGGTCTTTCACCTCCTTTGTTAAGATTAATCCCTGGGTATTTTATTTAAAGTTATTATAAATGGAACTGTTTTCTTGATTTCTCAGTTAATTGACTTGGTGTATAGAGAAGCTGTTGATTTTTTTAAGTGATCTTAATCCTGCAGGAATTAATTTCCTTTTTTAAATCAAAGGAAATAACTGAATTTACTATGGAACTAGTACTATGTACTTTCTTTAGTGCTATCAAATTAAAGCATTTAGAATCTGATTTCAGATTTTGTGCTAAAAGTGAGGCCATATTTCTGTACCATCTGTTTTACAAGTTGTTCATTTTCTAATGTTTTTGGCATTTTTATTATTAGTGCTTATTTTATTTTTTTAAGAGTAGGAAAATTTATTGGGGAAAAGAAATAGGGAGTAGGAATAGCTCTTTTGAGGGGTCCTGAATGGGTTGCCACTTGTTAATTTTACAAAATAAGTTTCAGTGTATGTATTTCGATAATATCCATCCCCTCATTCTCTTCCTGTTTGTCTATATAATAGGCTCTACTTTCTTTTTCTCTTTTCTTTTTTTGTCTTTTTCCTTTTTATCGGTACCGGGGATCAAACTCACGACTGCCTGCTTGCAAGGCAGGCGCTTATGCCGCTGAGCTAAATCCCCAGCCCCCAGGTTCTACTTTCATATCATCTTCTTTTAGAGTCTACTTACTGGGGAGAATATACAATACTTGTCTTTCTGGTTTGTTTCACTTAATATGATGATCTCCATTTGTATCCATTATGTTGAAAATGACATTCTATTTTCTACAACTGAATTAATATTCTATGTGTATATATCACATTTTCTTTATTTATCTGTTGGTAGGCATCTAGATTGATGCCCTATCTTGGCTGTTGTGAATTGTGCCATTGTAAACATCCGTATGCAGATATCCCTACAGTATGCTGACTTTAATTACTTTTGGTGTATATAAGGAGTGGTATAGTTGGATCAAATGGTAACTCTTTCTTTTTTGAGGATTGTTTTACCAGTCCTTATTTCTAGAATTTTACATTGACAGCGAATATCCCCTTTTCCTGGAAGCGAATACATAACTATGGCTTCAGTAAAATGATTAGCTTATAAAATTCACAATAATTATTTCTAAAAGATAAGCAGTTTATTCTTATGAACAAGTAAGTTATATTTGTGCAAAAATCCTAATTATTATAATTTTTTCCTTCCTCAGAATTCCATCATCCCTGGGCCTCCCTTCCTTTTTGGAGCCTGTTCAGTACTGCTGGCTCTGCTTGTTGCCTTGTTTATTCCTGAACATACCAATCTAAGCTTAAGATCCAGCAGTTGGAGAAAGCACTGTGGCAGTCACAGCCATCCTCATAGTACACAAGCACCAGGGGAGGCCAAAGAACCTTTACTCCAGGATACAAATGTGTGATGACTGAAATCAAGAACATTTTTCTATCAGCACCCAGGTCTTAGTTTTCACCTGTAGTTCTGGATGTACATTCCATTTCCATCTGCAGTGTACCTTAAGATTGTCTCAAGAAATGTATCTGCATGAACTCCGTGGGAACTAAAGAAAACTAAAAGAACTGGACAGTTTTCCAAAGATGTTATAATTTCTTTTGAAAAGAGACGTTTTGTTTATTAGCACCAGTTTCTTGCCACTAAACTTTTATTATACATCCTTTAATTAAAAATATATGTAACGTCTTAGATATTAGCATATATTTCTCTGCTACCATTTCCTGAAGGTGTTGAGCTTTAACTCTATGCTGACTCTCAGTGAGACTGAATAGGTATTGATTGTGGACCTGTTTGTTTTTAACATTATAAAATCCTGAGTCCAATTTTAATACTGTAAAATCTTGGGTCAAGAAATTCAAAGCCTTAATGCAGATGCACTAAAATAAAATGGTAAATGAATTGTTTGCATTAAAAACAAAATTTAAGAAAATTGTACTAAATCTGAATCATGCTTCAAGCTTGTTTGCAGTAATTTTATTTTAAACATACACATTACTGTTTTTGAAGTGAGAAAACACCAGACATTTAGAATTTAAATTAGGGTGGTAAGAGCCAAAGGCAGGTTCAAATTTGTTCCCTAGTTACTTCTTTATACCACTATACTTTTTTATTTGCATAATCATCAGAACCTCAACACTTGAATACATAATCTAAAAATTATATAGTAAAGCTGGTAGCCTTGAAAATATCAATGTGATATCTATATGTAGATAAATATATATAGTGGCCTTTCAGGACTGTCACAGTAACACTTTATTTACAGAGCTAATGTTTGTCCTAAATTTTCAGGACCCTAGAAGAGAGCTTTATACAATTACTGATGTGAATTTCTCTAAAGTGTATATTTTTGTGTCGTTATATTATTTAAAAAAGTGTTACTTTGTAAAAAATGTACATAAAGTTTATTGTATAGTTTACACTGTTTTCATCTTGTGTGTGGTTATTGCCTAATGCTTTTTAAACTTGGAACACTCACTGATTAAGGTCATAAAAATGTAAATATTCTGTTAATAAAATTAAATATTTTAATGATTTTTATAAAAAAAAGGTGTTGATCTGTGAATCCCTACTCTAGGGGCTCTTTTGGCTTTATTTATTACCATAGTTGTTTTTGAGTAAAAAAGCATCTCTGTTCAAATCCGTTTCTTTTTTTTTGCCTGAGACCGGGTCTCACTATGCAGTTCAGGCTGGCCTTGAGCTCACTTTGTAGCTCAGGCTGATCTCAAACTGCCAACGATCCTCCCACCTCAGCCTCCCGAGTGCTGGGATTACAGGCATGAGCCACCACACCTGGCTTAAATCCATTTCTTCTTTAGTGTAAAACACTCAACAGAAAATCAAAAATAAAACAGTACACAACTCAAAGTATAGCACTATAAATCAGAGCAGTCCTATTTCTTTCATCTTTAGATTCTGCAGTACTAAGGATTGAATAGTCTCACTGCCTGCTAGGTAAGCACCCTACCACTGAGTCAAAGTTTTAGCCTGTTTATTTTGAGCAAGGGTCCTGCTAAGTTGGTCATACACCTCAAACTGCTACCTGCCCTTAGCTTTCTGAGTAACTGGAGTTATACACGGGCTTTTTAAAAAACTTTCATGTCACAGTCCGAGTGTAATTTTAATAACTTTATTAACAAAACTCAGTTTATAGAGATAACATTAAAGGCAACATTTCGATTATTAACACATGTACAGTTATACAATGGGAAACAATTTCAATTAAAAATTTTAAGGGGTGGGGCAGAGAGCACACAAAAGTCTATATATACATAATACAAAATAATCTCTAGCAGGTTGATAGAATAGCTTCAAAATTTGGCTTTCTATGTGGTGCATCACTGTAATTTTTAGAGCTAGCAGTATGTCAGATCCCATCTGAACCCTGTCAATGTTTATATAAATATATATATATATATGTTACAGTGTATTTACAGCAAAGTATTCTATGTTGCCAAAAGACTTCACAATATGTGCTGTCAAGTTATAACTATTGTATGCTATATTTAAGTAAGGGGGAGAAAAGTCACTACATAATACTAGTTACTGAATTTTCTATTTAGATTCCTAGTTTAAGATAGCTGGCAGTGACCAGCAGTCTCAAAGTATAGGATTCAAGACTTATTAAAAAAAAACTACAAATATTCTTTGTCTTACCATAAACCAAGGAATATTTGTGTATCATCTTGAAATGTCCTTTTCCTCATTTATGTAACGTATCTGAAAGTAATTTTTAAACTATCAAATAAGAATCAGCACTTTGCAAACAAAAATTGATTTAGAAGACTCTCAAAGATAATGCTACTCTATATTGAATGGTTGTTGATAACAAAATGGGGCCCTATGATCTGGATGAATTTTATAATTCTGTCCCAAGGAACAATGTTTAATTAAAATTTTTAGTAATAGGGAAGAAATAGTTCTTTTGCCTACTTTATTAAGTAAACATTAAATGAAGTACAATGAATACCCATGATACACTAGAAATTCTCTATGGTTCCAATTTTTAAAACAAAATTCCATGGACATAAAATTAACTTTGAGACTAATAAAGTTCCAAGTTAAGGAGAAAAATGAGTGTAAACTATTCAGGAAGCATTAAAATCTTGCAAACTTCAGCTCAAATGACAAATACTTTATATATAACCTGGTCATATAAAGACTCCAAATTATTGTATAACAATATGAAAAGTTAATTGACTCAGTAGCTAAATATGTTTTTAAAAAGTATTCATACTTGTTATAAAGGTAAACTCATTTTAGTTACATAAGGTAGTATTAGGTCTTTTCCCTTTAATGTAAAGATCAAGAAATAGACAATCTTAGATAAGTAATTTTCCCTCATAATTGTCAGGTGGCAAGTTTAAAATGGATTTTACCAACGAAACGTAAATTGAATTATTAGCACTCTGGTTTCCTTTTTCTGAGCAGGTTTCAGTTTACTCATTCTCAGTATGATCAGAATAGCCTTTATAAGGATTGATGAAAGTCCCTCTTGAAATTCGTGTTACTGTTACTTTATCAAAGACTATGTTCAGAAATCCAAAAATAATCACTTAAACTATCAATTCCCAAGTACAAATTTGTTCCTATAATCTGTGCTATAAATGATCCCAACAATCTAACAATAGTAGCTCAAACTAGGATTCAACTTCTGTTAATATTTTTAAACCACCATTTAAATACATGCATAAAACCGGCTGGAATTAACTGCTTGACAACTGTCCAGGGAAATAGGCTGAAGATGTGGAGGGGAGCACGGTGGGCTTGGAAGAAGTCTGTAATGTTCCTAGAGTGCCATCTTTCTGATGGTCTGCAAATGAGGACAAAAATGGTTATTGTGATTTACATCTTTAATCATTCAATTAACCGTGCTGTATAAAATCCAGTCTAGAAATATTTTCTCACCTGCATTACTAAATAGATTCTGGCTGAGACCACGTAAAGGAATGCTATCTTCTCTTTTCTTCAAGTATTTGGATTCCAACCCTAAATTTTCACCACTGGAAAGAAAAATTATTTTTTTGAAGGCTTATATACAAACATTTAAGTTGTATGTCTTTAGTCCAAGAAATCTTAAAGACTTACTGAGCACTCACATGTTTACTAAATGTGGAAAATTCCACACAACCGCATGTGTTGGGTGCACTAAAAATACTATATACAGTTATCCACAACCTCTGGAAATAAGAAACAGATAAATTTTGTGCTTAGGCTTAGGTCCTGAGGGCTGAAGCAAAAATTAATGAAACTAAAATTTATAGGTTAACTTAGTTCAGATCACAGGCTTCACTACTTTCCTAAGCAAATGTAATTTACTTGTACATAACCAAACTTGTCTTCCACAACAGAGTAGGATAAGGACTGCAGGAGAAATATAAATTTTCCAAGTTTTAAACACTACATAAATCAGATACGATAAAAAAAATTTAGTATATGACTTGAGAGTATCATTAGTTAATTGTTTCATCCTATAATTAAAACAAGATTTCTTTTTGTTTGACCAAAAATTTTTGAAAAACTAGTAGCTCAAAGTGGTTGGTCACTGTCAAATATCATATTAACACATTTATCAATGTGACATCACATTATTAGATAATTTTAGTTAAAATAATGCAATGAAATTTCAAAAGAAAATGAGTATTTTAGTATTTTACCCCTTTCTAAATCTATGAGTGTTAACAATTTCCCTAGTAGTAAATTTGTAGTAAGTTGTTAAAGAATCTTGGAAACAGTATTATAACCTTAAAATTAAATGACAAGTAATTCCCCAATGTTTAGAAAATGAGTGAATAGGTATTTTTTTCAATTATAACTACCTTTTTCGTAGCTTTTGATATTCACTGTAGTTTTTGTTAGCTGACAATAAAGGGACAAACCATTTCTAAACAAAAATTTGAGTCACTGAACAATGCTACTTTGTTATTAAATGATTATGGACTGCAAATATAATTGTCATTTTCTGCTAGTAAAACTGCTCTTCATGTATAAAAAGTACACACTTCTAGTTTAATGACAGAATTCCATTCCCCAGATAAGTCATTAACTGAATCAGTCAATAAATGAGGAATTGTATATAGGTGTATATCACAATATTCAGAACAAAGAAATGGTCAAAGGAATCTCAAACTTGATGACTCTGCTTTTATTTGCCTAACTCTTATATCCAGTACTATATGTACCAGAATGTAAAACTGCGGAAGTACTCTATGGTACAGTACAGTCAACAAAAAACAGTAATGTACGAACAAGGTATGCTTCACAAAAACGACATTGAGACTTAATAAGATGTACAGAACTGTATAAAACAGGATAAAAATTCTTAAAGATGATCCTTAAAACTATAAGCATTAAATTTTATGTCAGTAAGTACTTACTTTTCCTTATCGGTTGAGCATGGAATAGTAGTAGTTGCTCCTGACTGAGTATCCCCTAGTGATGCACTTGGTTTTGTAAATTGCAAGTTAAACTGAACCTGTGAAGAAAATTCTCTCAATGTAATTAGTGAAAACATCAGTTCTCACAGTACTTCTATAATTAAGATGGGTGCTTACATTTTTATTTTGATAAATCTGGATTGTAAAATGCAGCTTACAGCATAAGCATAATTTTTAATTTATTATTATTATTTTTCTTTTGAGACAGAGTCTCACTATGTAGTTAGGCTGTCCTTGAACTCACTATGTAGCCCAGGCTAGCCTTGAATTTGTTACTATCCTGCCTCAGCCTCCCAAGTACTGAGATTACAGGCATGTGCCACCCTGCCCGGCAAGTATAACCTATTGAGAGTTAATAAAAACTGTATTTCTCCTTAGGAAAAAAGTTCCTGCCATGCAGGCAACAAGAATAACACACAATGATCTTTTAAGCACCGAGGAAGGGGAAGGCAGAAGAGGGTATATGTACATATACTAACTTCCCACAGCAAATATAATCATTGTGTACTGCAAACATGCTAATATAAATACAAGTTTTTTTAAAAACCATGAACATTAACAGGCTGAAGTGTAATAGTGTTGGAAGTCATCAGTTATCATCATAATGCTTTTATTTCATAGATTCTTAAAATTCTTCCCTTTTTAAGAACTTTTATATTTAAGGTTTTTAAATGAGTGCTTTGAATTCTGAAAGTCAAAAGTAATCAAGAACCTATGCAAAAGTCTAAATAGTATATGAGGTACAGCAGTTTCTTTATTTTTTGGGTTTCACTATGTAGTTCAGGCTGTCTTAACTATGTAGCTGTAAGCTGGTCTCAAACTCACAACAATCTTCCTGCCTCAGCCTCCTGAGTGCTGGAATTATAGACATGCCTGGCTATAGTTTAAAGTAATAATGTATTATGACTTTTATACCAGGAAGATTAAAATGGGTCATACATTATGACATCTATAAACACAAATCATCTTAATAGATCAAAGAAGAAAAATGACCATTTTCACAGAAAAAAGGTAGCAGCAAATAGTAATTATGTATTTTTTGGATAAAAACTCATAATAAAAAGATGCTAGTTTAAATACAATTATAAATTAGGAAAATCTATGTTGTACTTGGCTTCTGGCATTTGGTAATATAAAGATCAGATCTTCCTACATCAATCTACATTTGACAGAATACAGTTTCATAAAAATAGGATTTTTTAAAGTAGGACAAGTCAATTCTAACATACCTTAGAGAAAAATAAACATTCAATAAGAGGAAGTTAAAAAGGGACAGAAAATAAATCATCTAGTTTATGGCCACCAAAAGTTACAAAGTTGAACAACACAGAACACTCTCAGACCACAAAATAGTATAGAACTGTGATCTCTAAGAGAAATACCATCTTTGCAATTGCCCAGCCTCCAAAGTGAAGGAGCTTTCCTGACAGCAAATGTAGAAGTGTTCAACTCAGGAGAGCCGCGTTAAGTGTTTGGGAAGGCAAGCTGGCTCAAGGCTGCAGGGCCATGCTCTGATGAGAAGAGGACTGTAGAGACTGACCTCCGGAAATCTGTCAGAGGTTCCGGGTCATTGCGGAGGGATAGTCTCATGCACAGAGTAAAACTCCACAGGACTGAGTGACAGACTGGATCTTAAATGTTCATAAAGGCTCCTGTGTTGAATACCTGACTCCCAGTTGATGCTGCCTTTTGGAGTTGAAGCCTTTGAAGGTTACAGCACTTGCCTATACACAGTGAAGGCCGAGGTTCAATTCCTAGGAATGCCAGCAAAACAAAAACAAAAAACCTTACAGAAGTTGGGGGAAGGCAGGTCACCAATAGTATCAGCAGAGAGGAACACAATTCCTGCTGCTGCTGCACATAGGTAGGTCCCCACCATAAGCTAGCCATAAGTTAAACTATAGCCATAAGTTACTCTCACACCTTCTCTGATCACGCACTGCAGAAAGACTGTATGAGCACCACAGAGGGGGTGTTGTAATTCCTGCCTCCACCACTCACCAGAAGTACTGAGCCTGCAGCAGGGTCTACTGAGAGGACACTGCAGGAGCAGAGAGTAGCAGAGATCCCTGTAACAGTGGACACCAACAGAGCCTGAGAAAGACACCATCTCCAAACAAGGCCACCACTCCTACGGTACAAAGAGCCACCTACGGTGCTCTGCACCAATAATACCGCATACACCACTCCTGCCCCCACTCATATGACATGCGGAACAGTGGGTGTTTGACTCTGACAATACCCACTGTACTCAAATTCGCAAATCACAGCCAAGGAAGCCACAGATTCCAGTGTCCACTTGCAGTCTCAGAACTGAAACTCAGAACCGTGTAACAAAGCAATAGCCTAAGACACAACTTCAGGAGAATGCTGTTTACTAATGCTGCCTCATTAAAAAAATGGTTGGGACATTTACTCTCTCAGATGCAAAAATTTCAGGTTAGAAACGCAAGAAAAATGAAAAACAGTTTTTATGACAACTTCTTAAAATATAACTAACTGGTTTCAGATTCCAAAGATAGAAAAATAGATGAAATGACTGATAAAGTCAAATGAATATGTAATTTTTTAAAAAGGCTCCATTAGAACCAAGTGAACACAGATAAACAGTTAAATGACATTAAGAAGAGAGCCGGGTACAGTGGCATACAGTGGGCCTGTAACCCTAATACTTGGGAGGCTCCTATGAGGAAGGAGCATCACCCAAAGACAAGGCCACCCTGGGCTCCAGTAAGCTTGAGGCCAGCATGAACTACATAGTGAGACCTTAATAAACAAACAAACACACAAAAGAAATCAGGAGACAATGTTGGATTAAGAATGAGAAATTCAGGAAAGAGAAAGTCTAAAAAAGAACCATACACAAATCTTGGTAATTGAGAGCTCACAAAGTTAAATAAAAAATGTACTTCATGGCCTAAACAAAAGCCTACATTACGTAGAAAAATTCTAAAGCTTGTAGACAAGTAATTTAGCAATTTATGGACAGAAAAAATTAAAACACAAAACCATGAAAGGTGCATTCAAGACCCTTGAGATAACCACTAAACAATCAAACATTCTTATTGGCATATCTATAAGGGAAACAGGGATCAACTTTTAGGCATAGAAAACCTAGTCAATGAAATAAAAGCAGAAAACTTTCCTAATCAGAAAGACATGGATATCCTGGTACAGGAGGGCCTACAGAACCTCTAACAGACATAACCAGGAAAGAGCCTCACCATGGGATGCTATAGTAAAAAATACAGGACAAAGAAAGAATTTTAAAATCTGCCAGAAGAAAGCATCAAGTTACATTTAAGGGCAACTCCTCAAAAAGCTATTTCTCAGAAACCTTACAGGCCAGAGAACATAGACTGACCTTATTTCAAGTCTGAAAGAAAATAATTGCAACAAAGATTACTCTACCTAGTAGGGCTACTGTTCCAATTTTTAAGGAGAAACAAAGAGAGGAGGTTGGGTGTAGTAGCACACATCTGTAATTCAGCGACACAGCAGATCAAGGCAGGTAAATTGCAAGTCCAAGTGCAGTCTGGACGACTTAGAATCTGTTCACAGACAAAGAGAAGAGGGCTAGTAATGTAGGTCGGTCAGTGGCAAAGTACTTGATAGAACATGTTCAAGGCCCTTGATTCAATTCCCCTTACCACATGGACCAAAGAAACAGACAATAACCACCACAACAATAAACACCCTCCAAGTTAGCAAAAACTTGGACCACCAGAGTGGCCTTATAAAAGTTGCTCAAGGAAGTTCTACATCCAGAAGAAGAATGATCACCACTACCATGTTTTTGTCAGCAGAAAATTATTATTATTATTATAGTATGGACAGATATTTTGAAGACCGGAGGTATTAAGCAAGATTTGAAGTCTCATAATATTAAAATATCCAAAATAAAATCAATCTTACTGAATAAAGAAGCAAGGAACTCTAAGTAATTCACTAGTGAAAGATGCCTACTCCAAGGTGACACAGACACTTGTAATTTCAGAAAAAATTTCAAAGCACCCATTATAACCATGTTCTAAGCAGAGTGAACACTCTTGAGACATAGAAGGAAAAAAATCAGCAACAAAAAAGATGCAAAAAAAAGAAATTTTAGAATGAAAAACTCTGTACAGGCTCTGAAAAAACTAGACATAATAAAAAATATATATATATAAAAACTAAAGTAGAATACTAAAAAATGTTCAAATAACCCTACAGAAGTCAAAAAGGAAGACACTAACTAAAAACTAAGAGAAAAACAAGGTACATTCTTTATATAAAAACTACTTCACATATATTAAAGTTTAAAGTAAAAACCTACCTAGATCAATGATTACCAAAGTAGGTGGAAATTAGGACCATTCAGTGAGATGAGAAAGAAAAAGCTTATAACTTTGATTTATATATATTTAAATCTCAGTTTAATTTCTATTTTTAATGTTAATAATAAATCAGATTTATGTAGCACTTAATTGTATCTAAGCAAATGCGTTATTAACTCAATAATTCAGTAAGATATATAAAGTCATCATTCTGGAGAAACCGGCCCATGCGTATTGCCACATATCTATAATCCCAGCACTCAGGAGGCAGAGGCAGAAGGAATACTGCAAGTTTGAGGCCAGTTTGGGCTACAAAGTGAGTTCAAGCCAGCCTAAAATGTACAGCAAACACTGCCTCAAAAAATAAAAACAAAAACCAATAAACAAACAAACCAAAATAGAAACTGAAGCATGAGAGTTGGATGATTTCTTTTTGCAACAGAGTCCAAGCTGGCCTCACCACAACACCCAGAAGAGTTGGAAGGTTTTACTGTTTAGTGATTTGATTAATTTCACATTGACACAAACAGGCTTTAAACCCTGACATTAGATGCATTTTCTTAACCATCAAATTATATTATACAGGGGCTGGGGATTTAGCTCAGCGGCATAAGAACCTGCCTTGCAAGCAGGTGGTCGTGAGTTTGATCCCCAGTACCGATTAAAAAAAAAATTATATTATACATAATATTGTAGTTCTGCAGTGTATGCACACAATTTATGTATTTGAAAGCAAGGTGTTCTTTTCATCTTGCTTTGAACTACTAAAGGCATATGATCAAAAGAACATAAAAATTATGAAATACAAATTATTGAGAAGCTGGATCATTGGCACATGTCTGTAATCTCAGACACTTGGGAGCCTGAGCCAGAAGAATCATGAATTTGGGGATAGCCTGGGCAACACAGCAAGACCATACCTAGGGAAAAAAAAAGCATTGACATCTTGCCCCAACACCCAGCTAGGCAACTATCTGTGGTTTAAAAATAAAACAAAAAAAACCCCTGTGAATTCCTTCAGAAGTCTAAAGAAACTGACCGAAGATGCAATCACATTCCATTGATAATAAACTGCTAACTGCAGCACATGTGCCATAGTTTTACCACTACTGGAATATACGAGTATTTACTATACAACATAGGTTATTTCTGCAAATGGACATATCTAATTGTGCTTTAATAAGCAATACAAACAGAACCAATTGTCTAAATCGTCTAAACATGATATCATTCATAAAAACTCGGGCTTAAGCCTCACTTCCTTGAGAATTCTCAATAGTGTCTGGTGATAACAAGACATGGGTAAAAAGAAATCACATACTGACGTAACAAAGACAGGTTTTAGAGCAGGCCAGACATTTGATAAATCTGTAATTCTGGTTTCAAAGTTCTCAATTCTATCTTTCATAAAATATTTCCTCCATTCATGTCTCCCATCATGATTTAGGGAAAAATCAACTTGAACATGAAATTTGAAATGAAAATAAAGCAGGACAAAAACAACATAAATCTAAGATAGTAATTATAATACAATGACGCAGGTAGGAAGAAAAAGCTATAGCAATTAAATCAAGAGTTGGAGGACTGTTTGTTATGTACTATTTGAGATGTCACCAGAACTACAATTTAGAAGTTGTTATAAGCCAGCCTGCCCTACCCAAATCTAAGTCCGGCAACAGAATCCTAAAGTCTTACTGTCTCCAATATGCCAACATTACAAAGTTAGTAATCCCAGTTAGGATTGTACATTTAAAAAGAATGAATAAAAACAGAGGTTGAATAGAAATAAAGTTTAATCAGATTGAGTCTACTTTTTATTAATTAGAATGACTCAAGAAACATAAAAGTACAAGTACTTTTAATAAACATGCTATATACTTGATATTTAGTAACATATTCATTTAATACATTACCTAATACTAAGAAACTAACAAGAAAGAATGAACATTTCAAAGGGAAAATATTTGCAAGCTAACACATTTTTTTTATTAAAAAATTAGTAATTCATCTACCTTTGGTCCTAAAACTGGGTGGATGGTATTTTTAGTAGGTACTGGATGAGAAAAGGTATTCTGGTATGCAAATGCAGAGGACACAGGATAACCAATTCCACAGCTTGGGTAAGCAAGTCTATTATCAATCTAAAAATAAAAAAAATTAAGGATGAGAATTCTAAATAGTATTTGCTGATCTAGGAGGCATTAGCATCTGTTAATAATATTTTAGAACTCGTGTTAGAAAACTAGCTCACAGACCCATTTTGTTTATTATGTTATCACAAACTCTGCTTTTTACTTAATGTGAGGCTAAGATATCTCTCCTTGGTCCAAAGGATATTCAGAGTGGCTGTGCAAGCCTGGATCAAGGGAACTGGCAGGAAACTAGTTTAAATTCAGTTAAAATACTAATTACTAAACCAACTTCTTTCACTAGGTTTCCTGACAAGGAAAATGTGAAAAACAAGAAGTCATATCAATAGCCCAGTCAGGGATAAATAAAAATAATTTGCTGCTAGACTGAGAAAGAACAAGATTAATGTTCTTTCCCAGCCCTGCCTCTAGTCTGAGTCTCACTAGGTAATTCAGGCTGGGCTTGACTCATAGCAAAACTCCTGACTCAGTCTCCCAAGTGCATTACAGGCATGTATTACCAGGTCCAGTTAGGTAAATGTTCTTAAGTGGGCTAATTCAGACAATAATTTGCTTTGCACTCATTTCCAACTTAGTACCACCAATGTCAAGTCAATGTTTATTTTTATAGTAAGAGGCCACATGAAACCCAGATCTGTTTTTCTCTTGATTCATCACTGCTATGGAGTGACCTTGTCTGAAACTTCTATTCAACAGAAGAGCTCAAGGGAGCAGAAGGCACATTCCTAGTGGCTCCTAGGCCTAGTTACCTGATAATTTACTGGGCCACCTCTGGATGCGAGGAACTGCTTTTTTATTTTTCCCTGATTCCTTGGAAGGAAAATCCATATGACCTGGTCTTAGGAGTAAGAGAGCGTACATCATACAACCAGTTTATGAGACTCTAGAGCTGACAAGACCATTAACAGACTCTTCTCTCCCTTTCACTAACAGGATTCAGTTAAGACTTTTTTCATTGTACTTTCAAACTGGAGGCCTATCCCTAAATTCTCTCTTATTGAAGTCCTCTAAATGTTTTTTTTGTGTATTCGTGCACAGTGCATGTGTTTTAAATTTTTCAGCACATTCGATATTACTTTAACGAGTCTTGAATGATTTCTATATCCAATTAAGCTATACACAAAAGTATGCCCTTGTGAAATACAGTTGCTATGCTGGAGTGAAACTGCTTGTTTTAGGGGCAATTTGCACTATGCTTCATTGCTAAGTAACTCTCAGGTTTCCAACCTGTATTAGTACCAGCACCTGAAGTCACAGACTTTCTACAAATCTGAAAATTTTTTTTTCAAGAAATTTATTAATATCATTCACATCTTATTTGAAAACATACCACATTCAGGTTAGGAGAAATTCCACTTCTGATTGTGTTGCTGCTGGAATGTGCAGGTGGAGTGGTAGAAGGTCCCAATACATCTTGCTTTCTCACTAGCTGGTTTTCATTTAGTTCTTTATTTAACCAAGTGATTACTAACATAAGAAAACAAGAAAGGAATTTGACTTATTTTTATTTTTTTAATCACTTAACGTATCTGAAATTATATTAAGCTTTTCTTTCTTTTTTTTTTTGTGTGTGTGGTTCTGGGGATCAAATTCACAACCTCACGCTTGCCAGGCAGGCACAGTGCCACTGATCTATATCCCTGGCCCTATATTAAATTTTTTAAATGTCAACTTTTTACAATTGCCTTCTATTATAGTTGAACAGTATATAGGCCACTAAGTTCTTACAATTAAAGATTCTTATTTTTTAACAGCTTCCCACAAGGGACTGCTTATTATATTATTATCAGCACATACTTCTTTTTTCTTTTTGAAACAGGGTCTCACTATGTAACTCAGGCTGTCCTCAAACTGGCAATTCTCCAGCCTCCACCTTCTAAACCTGGACTATAGACATGGGTCATCAGGCCCTGCTCAAAAATCTCTTTCAAAGTTTTTTCTTGTGTAATGCTTTATCTTACAGCTTACTTAAAGTCCACAATTTTATGTCTTATAACTAGCCCTAGGAAACTAAAACATTTTATTTAAAAACTTAATCTTATAGTTTCAAATAATTATTAATACTGGGTTAACAGTAATTTTAAAAAGTAATCAAGAATTTAAATAATAAATTAGTTAAAATTTTCCATACTTTTATGTTACTGACACATAACAGTTTCCCTTATATTGGCAATAACTTCCATAGGATGTACAATATAATTTACTATATACAGAGACATTCAGACATTTAAAGCAGAATTTATTTGTACATAGCAGCATCTTGACAGACCTATACTTTTATGAACTCAGAAATTACAGGTTAAGAATGAAACTACAAGCCTCATTCACATAAAAATATAAAATTCTTACTGGGTGTGGTGGCACATGCTTGTAACCCCAGCACTCGCCAGGCTGAGGCAGGAGGATATTGCAAATTCAAGAACAGCCCAGGCTATGAAGTGAGCTCAACACTAACCTGAACTGCATTGTGAGACCCTGTCTCAAAAGGACCAAAAAAACAAAAAGCAAAACAAACAAACTATGTGTGTGTGTGTATATATAATACTTACACTTTTCATTGTTCTTTAGAAGCTGTTTACTTTCTTCAAGTTTTTGAACTGTGGCTTCTAATTGTTCTTGTAATTTGCATACCTGAAATATATCAATCCTCAGAATAAGTGAACTAAAGGCTAAAATAAAAACTGAAGAAATACATTATTATTAATTAAATAACTAAATAAATTAAATGTGGATAAAGGGAACTAGCCCAACTACATAGCAATCTAAGTATTTGAGTCATAATAACCAACTTTTCAATGTAAGATATGTTCACTTCTGTTGAATCTAGTTGTGATTCAAAATGTTGCCCAGATTTCGGAAAAACATGGCAGATAGATAGCAGCAGCCCCTGAGGCTCTCGGAGAAACCACACTTGAAATGTAGGAATGGTGCCGGACAGGAAGTTCCAGGCAAGGGGGAATATTCTTTGCTGACCCAGGAACGAACTAAATTAAGAGAAACTATCTGGAAATGCAATCTTGGTGAGACAGCAGGCACAGATAAGGTATCAGCATGGAAGCTGGACCCGCGCCACTGGAAACTGTGATTTGAATTACCTGCAGCCGCTGTTCTGTCCCAGTCAGCACAGGAGGGAGAGAGGCGCAAAAGCTCGGAGAGTGGGAAGCGGTGAATGGAGTTGGGATCGGGACTGGCCGGGTGCCCTGCATCGACCTGCGGTGAGTGAGTGGATCGGGGACCCTTCCACAGAGTAGGAGGCTTCAGCAAAGGACATACTTGGACCGGGCAGACTTCCCGGAACGAGATGCTGCAGTGACTTCAGTCATATATCTCCCTCTCAAGTGGGATTGGTGGGGAGTGCCTGGCCTGTGAGATGCCGCTGGCTGAGACCCAGTAGGCTAGCCCAACCCAGGTCCCAGCACCTGGAGGTGCACCCTAGCGGTGAAGCCTTCAGTAGGTTGACCTGGAGGGGTGGGCCTGGCATACACTGCCCAGGTCTGTGTCTCCCTGGTGCCCTGCGGTGGGTGGGAACACCTAGCCGGCACAATTCAAACAGACTGTGGCCGACAGGGAAGGAAGCTGGGCCTCCAATATACGCTTACATATAAGGAACAAAGAATATGGTAAGAGGGAGTAACAAGAAAGGGTCCTCAGCCCCCAATCCTGAGAAACATGCAATAGCAGACACGGCATCAACAGACATAAAGCGCTATCTCTAGAGCCTCATAGACGAGTTCAGGAATGAAGTTATTAATGACCTGAAGCAAGACATAAACAGAATAGTTAGAGAAATGCTAAGCACCACCCAAGAAAAAACAGATGGTGGAATGGAAGAACAGAAAAAAAAGGGGAGAATTGTTTGATGGAGAAAATAGAGAAAACATAGAATACGTGAAGCAGGTTCAAAGAGATTACCAGGAAACTAAAAACTCTATCGAAAACTGGCATAACAGCTTGAATGAAACTTGAAAGGAGAGATTATCTGAACTAGAGGGCAGATTTGTAATATGGGAGCATGAAATGAAAAACTTCTTAAAAATAACAAAAAAACAAACAGCAACAATACAAAAACTAGAAGATGATAAGAGGATCTATAACTTAAGAATTAAGAACATAAGAGAAGAAGTGGGGACACAAACAAATGGACTACAAAAGCTATTCACAGAAATAATCCAGGAGAATTTCCCTAATTTGGCAAATGGTAAAGATACTCAGATATATGAGGCATACAGGATCCTAGCCACCTACAACCCAAACATAGCTACACCCAGGCATATAATAATCAAAATTCCAGAAATCCAATATAAGAACAGAATATTAAAAGCCGTCAGAGACAAGAAACAGATCACTTACAAGGGAACACCCATCAGAATTACAGCAGACTTCTCGGCACAAACCATCAAATCACGAAGAGCATGGGGGGAAAAATTCAAGCTTTGAAAGATAATAATCTCCAGCCAAGATTGATATATCCTGCACAACTGTCCCTAGAAATTGATGAAAAAACAAGGTGCTTCCAGGATAAAGAGGAACTAGGGGAATTTGCAACCACTAATTCAACTCTACAGAGAATACTGCAGGATAGTCTAAAAAAAGAAAGTACCAAGATTCCAGAAATAGTGGCAGAGAGGCCACAATGAATGGAGCAGAAAACAAAATGAAGACAAACTGACAACAAAGGACAGAAAAAGAGCTCAGCAGAAATGAGGCAGAGAAGATCAGAAGGTAGGAACAGCTATTTTGGAGAAAACAAGACATCATAATAGCTAGTGCTGATTTAGTATCATCTTGTTTCGAAGTCCCATCAAACTTGTATTCTTCTGTTTCCATCGGTCTTAAAAGGTTGTATCTTATTGGATTTTATTATATATGATAATATAAGCAAAAACTTTTATAGACAAGGAGTTTACATAGAAACCATTGTTCATTTTCTGTTAATTGGTTCTAAATACCCTGTAATAATTTCATTCTCTTGAATTGTTTTATAGTGTCTTGATATGTTTGGTGCTACAGTATAAGAAGTTATACTCAAAGATTTCAAGGAAAGAGACACTATGGTAACTATTTTTATGTCAGGATATCTTGTGGTGAAACACTATTTTGCTTAAATGGTTATGTTTTGACCTGCGCTGTTCCATTGTTATGCCCTCTTTTATCTCAATCCCCCTTTTTAAAAATTATTTACTTTTTATTTTTATCTTCTTAATTAAGGGAAAAATAAATAAAAAATAGGATACATTATAGTAACCTACTTTGATTTCCTATTAACTTGATTTGAAACCCTGTATTGCCCTCACCATCTTGTTTTGACTGATTTTCCTCTATTCTGCTTTGCTTGATAGTACCAAGATCGAAAGTATAGGCATAACTGTGAAGACAATAAGAATCATTATGACGCCCATTCCGAATGACTATTATTTTCTTTTAAAATCCTGCAATGTCTCCAATGCTTTGGTTTTATTCTTTACTGTTTAGTTCAATTTTATTATAACTGCCAATTCTTCTTAAAATAGCAAGAGGCAGTATGGTAACCATTGTTGATCATCTTATATTTTGTTTTTACATTATCTATTATGTCCATCCTTTTGATTTGACTGACTCTGTTCTGATATGTGGCATTTGGTTTTACTCTTTTCAAAAAAAATAATAAGAACTGTGGGAATAATAAAACCCAAAATGTGTAACTGTCATTCTACAAAAAACAAAAAGAAAAGAAAGCACTCTAAAGGTTATAACTGCATATATGTTTAAGTGTATAAGATAGATAACCATATTACTGAGTGTTGTTTTGAATCATTGAACAAAACCGTTTGCACTTTCACTGTTTGAAAGTCCACTTTATATGCTTCAATTTTGTAACTTGAACAACTATTTCTAAGATGAGAATATATAATCTATTAACTAGTGATTTCTTACTGTTTATTTTTTAAATTTTATATTACTTGTTCCCTTTTTCTTTTTTTTTTTTTCTCCTTAAATTAAAAAAAAAAAAAATGTTGCCCAAAGCTGTTCTGCAATACCAATTATAAAGTGGAATTTTGAAAACTACATCTGAGGAACCTTAATATAATGTAAACAAGAGCCAGAACACAAAAACAGATTAACTACCTCTTGTTCTTTAGCTCGGAGAGTCTGTCCAACATCTTGTAATTCCCTTTGTTCCTTTTGTAATTTTTCCTCCTTCTCAGCCAGTAGTTTTTCTTGCTGAATAGTAACTGTATTCTTCAGTTTCAATTTACCCATCAGAGTTTTCAGATCCCCTTGTAACTTCTTAATAATTTCATTTGCCTATAAAAGAGTTTCATATGTATATCTCTATAAAATCTAATGAAACATTAATAACTATTAAATTTTTTAAACAAACCTTCAGAAGTTCTGCTGATAAAGATTTTATTGTAGCTTCAAGTTTTCCTAGTTGTACCTGATTTTTCTCACCATTTTCTTCTAATGCCACCTGATATATTTTTTAAAAACAAGAATAATTAGGGCATTTGTATTTGTTTATGAAAGCATTACTTAAAATGTGAACATCAGTTTGTTTAGCAAAATTTTAAAGACCTTTTGTTCCTGGATTGTATCAAATGCTTCTTTTGTTCTTACAACAAGCTGGTCTTTATCCTTAATTTCTTGTTCTAAAACTGCCACTTTTGTTTGTAGCTGATTAATATGCTTTTCTTTCTCATGACATTCAGCATCTAGTGTAGAATTCTCTCTTCGCAAAGAAAGGACTTCTTGCTTAGTCCGCTGTAGCTCCTAGAAGGTGAAAAAAACTTACGCTTTACAAGAAGAAAAATTAGATAGGTTGCTTATTTATAATTACGATATTAGAAATGTCCAATAATTTTAAAGATCTCAGATTTTTATGAGTAAGAGACATATAAGTTTCTAACGGTAATTACATTGTAAATTTGAAATACAGTTAAGGAACATTACTTAAACCAGGCATCGTGGCACAGGCCTGTAATCCCAGCACTCAGGAAGCTAAAGCAGGAGGATTGTTACAAATTCGAGACTACTCTGGGCTACAAAGAGAGCCCAAGGTTAGCCTGAGCTGCATAGCAAGACCCGATCTCAAAAAGACAAAGAAAACAAAGTAACACTACATGATTAACAAAGTCAAATAAGGTAAAATAAAATAATTCTGATTTATAAATAGTTACAACTTTTAAAAACTTATAACAAAAATAAATCTTATAAATCTTCCCAACTGGTTCTAAGGATAGCCATGATATGCAACTACTAATTTGCTGCCTTTTTTGTTTTAAAGGGCTCATGCCAAATTGTTGTAATCTACTTTCTTCCTAGGATATATTACAAATTATCTTTCCATGTAAGAAAGTATGTTCATATTTCTAGATTCCTTTTGATTCACACTTTAAAACCAGGCAAATCATAATTATTAATTAAAATAAATTTCAGGAAAGCCTAGAATATGCTGGACATGGTGCTGCAAGCTTCTAATCCCAGCACTCTGAGAGGGTGAGGCAGGAGGCTCAGTACAAATTTAGCTTGGGTATCTTAGCAAGACCCTCTCCCAAAATAAAATATAAAAAGGTGTGAGGATGTAGCTCAGTAGATTCAATCTTTAAGAAAGCAGAAAACAAAACAAAACAAAACAAAATGCCCCCAAACCTAAAACAGATCACTTCTCAATCAGCTAATACCAATTGAAATGACAGTGGTATACAAAAGTCCAGGATATAATATTTTTACAGTTATAGTTTTTAACAAAAATTTTAATAGATAATTTTATAGTGTTATAGTGCTATAACTGTTTTAGGAGTACAGAGTTTGCTATCGGGCAGATCTGAATTCAGATCAGGTCTCTTTACAGTGTCATCTTGGGAATTATTCATCCTCCTTAAGTTTCAGCTCCCTCATTTTTAAACAGAATTGCTAGGCATATTCAGTGAAATGCAGTAGATACTTTTTTTTTTTTTATACATTTTTTTTTTTTTTTGTCTTTTTCCTTTTTATCGGTACCAGGGATTGAACTCACGACTGCCTGCTTGCAAGGCAGGCACTTATGCGGCTGAACTAAATCCCCAGCCCCCTATGCAGTAGATACTTAAATGGTAATTAATTTAGGGCATCAATATAAAAAACTCTGATTTTACATAATTAGAAGTCAAAAAAAATTTCTGAGATTCAAAATTTGCAAGTGCTATGCAATGATTTTGATTAAGTTACATAAAAGCCAACATAATAAAAGATTGCTAACAAAGTGGACAGTTTCAGGGCTAAGACTGAAGAAATCAAACAGCATTACAATGAAAAGATTAAACTACTATATGTACCACAAAGAAAAGTCTAAAATGCTTTACCAACTGCTGTGAACAATGAGGGTTATACGGAATAAAAATTGTAGAAATCTTTTAAGGCAGAATTTTGTGAGGATATGAACATGAAAGAGGTTATGCTTTAGCCTGGAGCTCCTAAGTATAACTGGTTAGTGAAATGGAAAGCTAGTGATCTTTGTTTTTACGTATTTATCTTTGAGGAGTTAGGGATTGAACCCAAGGCCTTGTGACTGCCAGACAAGTGCTGTAGAACTGAGCTAGAGCCACACTTGATTTTTAAAAATGTTTTTGAGGCAAGGCTTCCCTAAGTAGCTGAGGTGTGTACCACTGAAATTGGCTTGGTGATCTTTGCTTTTAAATATGATGATTTTAATCATAAGCCAGGCACCGTGGCACATGCCTGTAGTCACACCTACTTGGAAAGGTGAGGCAAGAAGAGAGCTCAGTCCAGGACTTTAAGGTCCATGTAGGCAACAAAGCAAAACTCTGTCTCAGAAAAATAAAACAACAAACAAAAAATTACACATATTTTCTGATGATTCATGTGATAATAATCCTAGGTAGAAGATAATCATCAATGCCAAAGTATCAACAAATATGGCATAGCAACAAGATTCTTAAATATGATGGCTCGGAGAATGTGGCTTAGTAGTACTATACTTATCTAGCATGCACAAGGTTCTAGATTTGATTCCCAACATCTCAAAAACCAAGCACCTTTCTGGTGCTTGGAAGAACAAAGTAGTACCAAAGATAGGAAAAAAATAGGTGGATGACACATAAAATCAGGCAGAGGATTAAGTTATCTGCCTCATATCACATGTTTCATCATGTGTAAAATGGGAGTAACAGTACACACCTTAAAGAATTGTTTTAAGAATTGAGTTCATATATGTACTCAAATAGTAATTCCCACAGAGCAAATGCTTAAAGGTAGCTTTCAGCTTTACTCTTAATCACCACTACTAGACACTAAGCTTCATATACTTGACTGATACACTGTATAGGCTTAAGAAAAGGACTAATCCTGTCAACAATGAGTACCCTATGAGACCCAGACATTAAACCAACTTTACAAAATACACTGGAAAACCTGAGATCTGTATCAGTATACTGCTCCTCAAGATCCTAACTAAAAATCAAGGTTTATTTTAGTTCTGTTCTGAATTATCTCTCTTTTATCAAATTTCGAGTTCTCAATATTTCTGGTACTGCATAAAATTATCAACACCCTAAAAGATTCCTGCAGAGAATGCAGAGGAGCACCACCCACACAAATAATAAAATATCAAATTAAAATGAAATGACCAAATTAAAACACTTGCAAATCAGAATGAGAAGAGAAGCCATTACTCAGTACCTCTTCAACACCAGAAAGTTTTGCTTTAAGTTCTCTAGTAGTACAATCTCCTTTATATTTCCTCTCAGTTAAATCTTTATTAGCTGCTTCTAACTCAGACACCCTGTTTTGTAGCTGGTGGATGTTTTGCTGATGGAGGATTTCTAATTCTTTTTTCTGTTGTTCATGTTGCTGTTGATATTGAACCTGTGCCTGTTACAGAATAATAGATATTAAAGAAGAAAAAATCAGAAATATAAATATGGAAAGATCTGCGCAATTACAGGTACACACAATCACATACATGCTCTTAAGGCCACAAAGGAAATCACAAATAACACATAATCCTATACAGGAAGTCACTCTTAAATATTTAGGAATATTCCTTTCCAGTCATTTTCATAAGTATAGTGACATTGCACATATGTACCCAACATACATATTTAAATTTAACAAATTTAACAAATTAAAATCATTAAACAAAAATTGCTTACTAGTATATATTAATAATATAGAATGAGATTCTTTTTGGCATATTGGTACATGCATATAACATAATTTGACTGTTTTTTATCCCCATGATTTCCTGCTTTGCCTCCCTCCTCCCCTTATCCTGTTCCACGTCTTTAAAGGTCTACCTTCTAGTTTCCTGTCATCTCTCTCTTTTTTTTTTTTTTTTGTGGTACTGGGGATTGAACTCATGACCGCGCGCTTGCCAGGCAGGCACTAATGCCCCTGAGCTAAATCTCCAGCCCTCTCATTTGTTTTTTTACACAGGTCATATATTAAAAATGCAATATTTTAACTTTCTGAGATGGGTTTATTTCACTTAACATAATGGCTAAAAACACTTTTTAAAAAATACATAATGTTGCCAGGCATAGTAGTGCATACATGTAATCCCAGCACCTGCGAGGGTGAGGCAGGAACATTGCCCTGAGTTCAAGGCTAGCCTGGGCTACACAGCAAGTTTACAGCAAGCCTTAACTGCAGAGCAAGACCCTGTCTCAAAAACAAACAAAAAACCTCAAACGTAATATACAAACTTTAACGTTCCAAGATTATCTTTATAATTCACTTAATCCCTCACCAAATATGGATAGTTTCCAGTTTTCAAAATTACAAACAAAACTATGATTAATCTTTTTGTATAGATATCTAAAATTCAGATCCATTCCTTATAATCAAATTATAAGTTAAAGAATACTTCAAAAGACAATGTAAAACAAGCTCTAAAGCTGTATTCCAGAAAACACTTTCACTCAAAATTCTTATCACTATTACTTTTCATAACATATTCTGAGAATTTTACATTACTACTTCAAGAAGTTCCTCATTTTTGGAAAACTGTAAAAGAATAAGGAGGCAAAAGTGGAAAATATGAAGTAGTCTACACAAAAATGAAAATGCAATTTTAACAAGAAACAAACAAGAGAAAAAAACAGTATCAAGCCATAAAGATGCTAATTGTAACTGTCTATAAGTGTTATTGAATAGTCAAAGAAAACAGTAAGAAAAGTAAAAAGAAATGACTGTCTAGGAATTGCTAGAAGTTAGGGAATTAATTATCTTTAAAACAAACAGATGAATGATAAGATTTCAAAATTATATTTTCCACTGTTTCCTTCTAAATCATTTGAATTGCTTCAGAAAATAGAAGAAAATATATTATTCAAAGGAATAAATAATTTTCAGAGAAAGATTCACAATTATAGAGAAATAGCAGAAACAATCACAAAAGAATCTGTAGAAGCAATATTTTTCAACAGAATATACTATACAGACTTTTACTTTAAAAGGTACAAAGGAAATTTGGTGTCCAGATGTAAGAATACAGCAACGTAAGGAAGAGAAAGAGCAAAATAGTCCCTGGGATCCAGCAAGGATCTGAAATAAAAACTGAAGCCCACGGAGAGAGGGAAGAGAAAGACTTCAACAAAGCAGGAAGTGGTAAATGGCACTTTCTCTCTAAGAATGATGGAAGGGGTAGCTAATTGCAGATGCATGGTGCCTAATGGCCACTCCAGAGGGCTCCACAAAAAATGCACCAGTAGAAAGAACAGTGGACACAAGAAGACTGCAGTGGCTGGTGAGTTACGCAGATTCAAATGTCTCCCCAGCAGAACTGGTCAATAAGTACCTGGGAGAGGAACCAACTGAGCTCAGAGTTCAGAGCAGTTGTGGGCTGGCTTCATCCACCCAGCTCCTAGTATCAGCCTTAGGTGGAACTAAGTTCAACTGAGCAAGAAGTCAAGGAGCTGAGTTCAAGGCCACAGGAGGCACAGGAAGTACTGCAGATAAAACAAACTGAATTCCAGGCTCACAGTCAGAAACCAGTCTGAACTTTAGTGGAACTAAAGGTGCAAGATTACTTGGATTATCCACTTACACTGCCATGAGTCGTCAGCTAGCTTGCTGGAACTGACATGCATCTGGACTCTACCAACTTTGTCCACTAGTAACAGCACAGATATTTTTTGTTTATTTGTTTTAAAATAGGATGAATTTGCATGTCATCATGTCATCCTTCTGCAAGGGCCATGCTAATCTCCGTATCATTCCAAATTTAGTATATGTGCTGCCAAAGTGAGCACATGCACAGATATTCTTTCAAGTGGGCTTTTTTTTTTTTTTTTTTGTCTTTTTCCTTTTTATCGGACTGCCTGCTTGCAAGGCAGGCACTTACCGCTGAGCTAAATCTCCAGCCAAGTGGGCTTTCTTTTTTCTCTCTTTCTTTTTAAAGGTATCTTTTGTTTTATTTCTTGATGGTTTTTATTTTTATGAGTGTGAACACTGTTTCTAGTGTTTTTGTTGTTGTTCTCTTCTGTTCCTGATTTTATTTGTTCCTTCTCTTTTACCTCCTGCCCTCTTCCCAGTCTCCCAAAGTTTGTGTAATCTTCCTTTGTCCTCCATCCTTACTTCTAATCTCTTCCTCTTCTATTTTTACGTTTTACACTACTTTTTTAAAAAACTTTCTCTCCTGAGGGTAAAATTGCTATATCTAGAGCATATTTACCGTATGCAATATTTTGTTGGTTTATGGTTTATTTTAGATTTTATTACATAACCACAAATCTAGTTCATACATTTAGGTGACAAACTAATAAAAGTTTGTCATCTTCTAAACTGTGTTTGATGCTATTGTTATTGCTGATTGGACTACTTTAGTCAAGACGACATACTTGTTCTAACCAGTTGTTCTTAGTATGACAAGCCTGAGATTGCCTAAGGGTCATAAACAATACCATATGTCAGTGGCAAAGAACCAGGGGCTAGGCCAAACAGGCAGCAATTTCTCATCCCCAATAAAATGAAAGGGTAGAATCCTACAACAGACTCAAAACTGAAAAGCCAGCTATACCTGATAGGCATACCAGAAGTAGTCATTTCCTAAAGTTGCTAAATACTAGCAATAAAGCTACTTGCCATAAGCAACAATCCAGGGATTAATGTTAAAAACAATAGAAAATCAGAAGACAGTTAAGCAAGATGCAGCCCCAGAATTCCAGTTCACCAAAGAAAAACCCAGGGGGAAATGAGGTAAAGCAATCCAAAACCCACCCACCTGAACTCTCTGAAGTGCTAATAGCAGAAGTAACAAAGCAGATCAATGAGGCTCTAGAAAAAAATCAAAAATCAAAAAAACAATTTCTCAGAAAGCTACAGAGATGGTGACCACAAGAAAGATATGGTGACCACAAGAAAGATATGGTTAGTGACTCTATAGCAGATACATAAAAAGTAGAGGAGCATAGGAAAATGACAGAAATCATAAGAAATCATAACATAGGAAAGAAATGGAATCCATGAAATAGATTGAGATATCTAGGAGATTAAAAATTCCATTGAAAGTATACACAGCAGAGTGAATCCAAGTGAAGACAGTGTATCAGATCTAGAAGACAGGATTACAGTTAATGATCATGAAAAGAAAGATTTCTTAAAATTACCAAGGGATCACAAAAATCAATTCAACAGCTGTTCAATGATGCATAGAAGAATAACAAAATGGACTGAAATCAATGAAAAAGCAGGTATCACAAATAACACAAAAACTTGTTCACAAAAGTAATGGCAGAAAAGTTTCCAAGCATGGAAAAAAAAAGTCTGACATACAGGTGAGGTATATCAATTCCAATTAGCTATGATCAAAAAATTGTATATCAAGGCATACAATATTGAAGATTCCAGAAATTTAACACAAGAATAGACTATTAAAACTGTTATAAAAAAGATATAAATATATTACACATATAAAGGAAAGCTCAGCAGACTCAAACTCAGACACAAACACTGAAGTCAAGGAGCGCTTCAAGTATCTGAAGCCCAGAGAGGAAATCAAGATGGCGGATAGATAACAGCAGGCTACAGAGGCTCTCTGAGATAGTCAACTTAGATTCTAAAACTATTACAGCGTGGGGAGTCCCAAACAGAGGGAGAGACACCCTCCCGATCCAATAACAAACTAACCGGAGAGAAACCAATTAAAAATATAGTCCTGATGCTACGATTGAAACAGCTACAGTCTCAGTGTTGCCGCTGTCATGCTTGATTTGGCACAGCCGGGATAGCCCACTAGTTTCAATTCACTGGAGATGCGAACGCACTGAGGAAGGGAGTCATGGAACCAAATTGCGAGCAGAGCTGGCGGGGGAACCCTGCTTCGACCTGCGATGAGTGAGGGGAATAAAAACCCTTCCATAGAGAAGGGGGAGCTCCAATAGACGACACTCTGGGACCATGCAGACTGGCCACAACAAGGGGCTGCAGTGACTTCAGTCAGCTATTCCCTTCTCAAGCGGGATTGGTGGGGAGTACTTGACCTGGATGATGCCACGGACTGAGGCCCAATAAGCTAGCCCAAACCAAGTCCCTATGCCTGGCAGTATACCCTAATAGAGTGAAGCTTTCAGCAGGTTGGCTGACCCAGAGGGCGGAGCCCAGCATAGACTGCCTGGGGCTGTACCTCCTAATACACTGCAGTGGATGGGACCACCTAGTCAGCGCGCTTCAGACAAACAAACCAACAGAAAGAAACTGGGCCTCCTATATATGCCTGTATGGAAGGAACAAAAAATATGAGAAGAGGAGACAACAAGAAAGGGTCCTCAGTCCCCAATCCTGAGCACATTGATCCACGAAAAGTAAATGCAAAGGAGAATGAGAACAGCAAACATGCAATATCCAACAGGGCACCGATAGACATAAAGTGATATCTTTGGGATCTCATAGACGAGTTCAAAAGTGAAGTATTTAACCAAGTAAAGCAAGATATAAATAGAATAAAGAAATGCTAAGCACCTCCCAAGAAAAAACAGATGAAAGAATGGAAGAACAAAAAAAAAAGGGGGAAATTGTTTTGATAGAGAAAATAGAGAAAACATAGAATACATGAAGCAGGTTTAAAGAGATTACCAGGAAATTAAAAACTCCATTGAAAGCTGGCAAAACTGCCTGAAAGGAACTAAGGATAAATTATCTGAACTGGAAGACAGGTTTGCATTAGAACATGAAAGGAAAAATTTCTTAAAAATAACAAGGAAACAAGCAGTAACAATACAACAGCTAGAAGACGATGACAGGATCTATAACTTAAGAATAAAGAATGTAAATGAAGAAGCAGGGAAACAAACAAAGGAACTGCAAAGGCTATTCACAGAAATAATTAAGGAAAACTTCCCAAACATAGGAAAAGATACTCAGATGTATGAGGCATACAGAACTCCAGCCACCTACAACCAAAACAGGCATGTAATAATCAAGATCCCAGAAATCCAATATAAGAAAGAATATTAAAAGCTGTCAGAGACAAGAAACAGATCATTAAGGGCCAGGATTTAGCTCAGGGGCATAAGTGCCTGCTTTGCAAGTGCAGTCGCACAGTCGTGAGTTCGATCCTGGTACCAAAAAAAACAAACAAACAAAAAAAAACCAGATCACTTACAAAGGAAAATCCATCAGAATTACAGCACAGTTCTCGGCACAAACTATCAAATCAAAAAGACTGTGGAGCGAAATAATGCAAGCCTTGAAAGAAAATAACCTCCAGCCCAGATTGATGTATCCTGCACAACTGTCCCTAAAAATTAATGGAGAAACAAGATGCTTCCAAGATAAAGAGGAACTGAGAGAATTCACAACCACCAATCCAACTCTATAGAGAATACTACAGGACATTTTAAAGAGACAGAAAAGTACTAGGATTTCAGGAACAGTGGCAGAGAGGCCCCAACGAATGGAGCAAAAAGCAAAATGAAGAAGACAGATAACTAATGACAGAAAAAGAGTACAGAAATGAGGCAGAAAAGGTTGGATATAATTTCTAATATAGATGGCCTAGATACACTAACTTAAGGAAAAAAAGAGAGAATCGCAGGCAGGGTGGATCAAGAGGTAGGGTCCACTGAGATGCTCTTTATAGGAAATATAGTTAACCTGAAGAAGGGTATATGGACCAAAATCAATTGTGGGAACCAGAGAGTAATAGGGGCAACTGGACCAGTATTTATGGATAGGTTGAAAAGACAGGCTTTAATAAGTGAATAAATACAACTAGAGATCAAGTCCAGGAGTGAGAAAGTTCAGAAACACTTAGGTAAATAGCAGGTTCCCCCCTCCCCCAATATAAAACCTAGTGTTAGGGAGACCCAAAAATACACAGCACATCCTGGGGGAGTGAAAGGGAGGAATAGTTTTTAAAAAGACAGCAGAAGGGGCTGGGGATTTAGCTCAGCAGCATAAGCTCCTGCCTTGCAAGCAGGCAGTCCTGAGTTTGATCCCCAGTACCAATAAAAAGGAAAAAGACAAAAAAAAAAAAAAAAAAAAAAAAAGAGGGCAGAAGATATTGCTAACAGTGTATCAGGAATTAAAACCCTTATTACTTGTACCACTATGCTTGGATAGAACTTTTTCTGTCCCAGTTTGTATACAAGCACTGGATCTGAGGGCACAGACAGTTGTCCCAAAGATATCAGGATATAGCACAGTGGTCATCTTTAATTTCCTATTATCTTAATCTGGATCTCTGTATGACTTATACTGTTGTATCATGAGTGATCTTAGTTAAATCTGATTTGATTGCTGCTTATTACTGACAGACGTTATTCAAAACTGTGAGGTTGATGGTATCAAGTTGAAGAGTATAGACAACTACACTGAAAATGACAATGATTCACTACCATACCCATTCTGATTTGATTACTACCTGTTTTTGTAGCTCTATACCATCTACAAAACTGTATTTCTATTAATTCTGTTGTGTACTGATATATTCAATTATACTTTATCTGATGGTATAGCCAATTCTGTTGATGATAACAGATAGCACCGTGACCATGGTAGAACTCCTTATACAGCAGTTTTATATGTCTTTTTAGTTTTATGTGTTTAGGAATGTTTTGTTCTGTCCTGCTTTGTTCTGTTTCTCTCTCTAATATAGAAAGGATAGAAACACATGTTAAGACTCATGCTTGAGTAAAACCTATATACGGTTTATGAAAACTGATCTTATAACACATGATGAAATGAATAAATACTTTGAAGGAAAAAAAAAGGGGCACTGCAGTACCCAGTGCTGATTCCAGAGTGTTATGAT